GGGGGCGGCGCCCCAACTCCCCAATCGGCCCTGCTCTGAGCCCGACCAGGGGCTGCACCTAGGGATTGGGCCTGCCCTCTGCCACCCGGGAGCAGGCCTAAGCCAGCAGGTCATTATCTCCTGAGGGGTCCCAGACTGCGAGAGGGCACAGGATGGGCTGAGGGACTCCCTTTCCCTGCCGAGTGCACAAATTTTTGTGCACCGGGCCTCTAGTCTATATATAAAGAGCCAGTGTCCATAACATCCAAAATGACCAAAGGCTTGCCCAAACGCCAGGCTGCGTGCATAGCACGCCGAGTGGGCTGAACTGCTGACCTCTCGGGGAGAGAGAGAGAGGCGAGGACTTGCAGTGGGGACTTGCGTGAGGCTGCCTCATGGCACTCCGCATCCCCCACTGACTGACCACTGGAACTCCAAGCCAGTGAGGGCTGCCTCCAGGCCACGGCCCCAGATCCCTTGCCCCCACCCCAGGCCCAAGAGTGCGGCACCGGGCAGGGGCGCCTGGGGGTCCAGGAATGTGGCGCGAGGGGCCGGCGTGGCATCAGGGGGCTGTGTTTACACTGACAAGTTCCCTGCTTCCGCCCCGGCCCACGCATCCCTCCTTTCTCCCTTCAGCAGCCCAGCTCCTGCCTATGTGCTTGCCGGGCAGGCCCAATTGCACCGGGGAGTGAGCCATGGCAATCCGGATGGCCACTTCCCAGGACAGGACGGCCGGGCCCAGGCAATTCATGAGGGCGACAAGACCTGCGGGGCATGCACAGCCCTCAGGCGGCAGGGGTGGCCTGCCAAGCCGAGTTTGGCTTCGGTGGGGCCAGCAGGAACCCGACGAGGCCATCGCCCCCACAGGTCCCAGGCCAGACAGTGGTTCAGAGGCAAGCAGTGTCTCCATGCATGGCGCCCGGGGACAGCCGCAAGCTGCTGCAACCCCGCCCCATGCTTCAGGGACAGGGAGGAGGCTCGTGGTCACCAGCGGTCTAGGCCGCACTGCCTGCACTGCCCCCTGCCGGGCTGGCAGGGTCCATAGCGGGTGAGCTGCTCCCGTCCCCTGGTGGTAGAACAGAAAGGAGGGCGCTGGGTGCAGGGAGGGGACCTCAGCTGGGATCCTCCTGGTGTGGGGAAGGGGCCCAGCCTAGGCCCGGTGGGCAGCTTAAGAAGTCTGGCTGAGCAGGTGCTGGTTCATACCAACTCTTACTCTGCCATCTTCCTCCAGCTCTCCAAGCTAGACCCCTGCCCCACCTGCCCGGGGGAACGGGCTCTGGGCGACCTCCCCGATCACAGACTGTGTACCTGGAGACCTCGAGGAAGAGTACCTGGTGGGACCCGGGTGGGGGCCAATGCAGAACTACCAGGGCAGAGCTGCTTCGGTGTCTAGGTGAAATTTGCAACAGACCCAAGGAGGAAACCGAGAGGGGAAAGGCAGGTAGGCGTGAATTCCCAGCGCTTTAGCTACTTGAAAACAGTCCCACTTGGAATGTGAGGTGGCTGTACGTTCAGCTGAGAAGTGAGGGGGCTGAACCCCTCCGTTGCTGGGCTCCTGTCAGTCCAAGACCCGAGCGTCCACCATGACAAGGAAAAAATGGAGGGAGGGGCTGGAGGAAGGGAGGACAATATTAGGAAACTTGTCTAGACTTTCCCCAGCCCTCTCCCTCTTTCCGCTGCCTACAAAAGCCCCAGACCCGGCCACAGTTCTGTTTCTACCTTTTAGTCCCCTATTCTCCAACCACAGAGGAAAGAAATAAGGAAGGAGTTCATGCTGCCTTCAGAAAGTATATTCCTGATTGGCTGGTTGCCTCCCACAGAGGGAGGCCAAACTGCGGCTCCCCCAAGGGGAGCGGGCCTAAGCAATCAGTAGGACATCCCGTGAGGGCTCCCAGACTGTGAGAGGGGGCAGGCCGGGCTGAGGGTCCCATTCCCCCAGTGCACAAATTTTTGTGCACCGGGCCACTAGTATATATATATATATATATATATAAGCCTAATATGCAAAGTGTCCCCTCAGGAGTTCAACCAACTGGGAGCTCAATCGCTCGCTATAATGTGCACTGACCACCAAGGGGTGGTGCGGAATGAAGGGAGGCCCCAGCTGGCATCCAGCAGCCACTTAGGGACCCTACCCATGCACGAATTTCAGGCACTGGGCCTCTAGTTCAGTGATAAATGTGGATTCAAACTCAGATCTACATGACACTGAAAATATTATTCCTTTCACTATCTTTGCCTCTGCACACTTTCATTTCTATGATTAAAATGCATCCACTGTATTATTGACAATTCACCCCTTAATAATAAAATATACAGTTTAAGTACATTTAGACAATTTTTTTAAAAAAAGACTCACTCTTCATTCCTGGCTCCTATTTGAAGTTAAAGTTTATTACTGAAGCTGAAGAGAAGTCTTTTAAGTATGAAAGAAATGCAAGTGGTATTCCAAGTTACAATATGTGTGTGCTCAAGTGGGAAACATGAGAAGAGCATCTGTCAAATTCATTTTGGCCTCATTTGATACTATCTCACTGATCTGGGGCCAGCTTACATTTGTTTCTCTCTCTCTCTTTCCTTCCTCCATTTCCTCTTCATTCCAGAAGCATACAAAAACCATAGCAAAGAAGCTGGATAAAGTTTCCAATAATATACTGAAAACACTATCAAATAAAGGAATGGCTATCTAGTCCAAGGATAACCTCATTTCAACTAAGAATAACCCAAAACACTAAAATAAAAAGAATCTTTATGGGATCATAAATAACAACTGGAGATAAAATTACTTAAGATATTCATTTTAAAGAAATAGATTTTTGGAGACAAATTCTCAAAAGAACTAATTCAATTCGTACTTATGGACAGGGCTTTATAATTTAGTATGAGTCAACCTTCAAATTGTACTTTTTAATTCAAACTTTTAAAAAAGTCTTTAATTATGTTAATTCTACTTCCAGCTTTTAACCCCAGCACTGATCCCTATCTGCTCAACCCTGATGCTAATGAATCCCAGATTTCTGATACTTATAACTAAACAGCATTAGAATTGAGCATTAGTTTTGAAGGTCTATAAATTTCATGATAGTCTCCTGCACATCTATCTACATTTGCAATTGTTTTAGTCTAGTATATGTAAGTGGTAGTAGTTTCTTTAAAGGACAGTCAATTCTCAATCAGTTATGCTTTTCAAAATGGTCAAAGTAAAAATGGCTAGTAGATTTATATTTTAAAGCCACCTAGGTGTTTCCCCTTATTGTGATATCGTCTGGTATCTTCAGTTCTTTGCTTCTAACTTCTTGGTAAATTAAAGAAGACTGTATTAACACAACAGTAAAGAAAAAATACCTTTCTAGATAACCAAACCTACAGGCTAAAAAATCCTGTCTTCTCTCCTAGACCACTAAATATCAGCTAACAAATAGAGGAGTACCAATGAATATTTCCATTATCCTCCCAAGGAAAAATTAAAGAACTGCATCAGACACATATTAATGCTGAGATATACCACAGGAAATAATATTTTAGTACTCTCCCTAACACGTTCACATGAAACAGAGGAGATAAAGTTAACAGACAATTATAATTCAGTGTCATGAGGATATGAGGATAAGCGCACGGTTCTATGGAAATACATCAGAGGGATTTTCAACACCCCCAGAAGAGGGGAGAAGTTAGGAGTGTAAAGGATAGTTCCCCAAAGGAAGTGATGCCTAAAAGAGACTAAGAAGTAAGTATCCACTTTGCATTGGCTAAGACTGTTATAATAAAAAAGGACTGACAATAACAAGTGTTGGGGAGGATGTGGAAAATTGGAACCCACATACATTGCTAGTAGGAATGTAAAATGGTTCGGCCACTTTGGAAATCAATTTGACAGTTCCTTCAAAATGTTAAGCATAGAATTACCCTATGACCCGGTTATTTCACTCCAAGATATACACCCAAGAGAACTGAAAACATACATCCACAGTAATGTTCAAAGTGGTATTATTCAAAATAGCCAAAAAGTGGAAACAACCATTAATTGATGAATGTCCATCAATTGATGAATGAATAAACAGAATGTGCTACATTCCAAAATGGAGTATTATTCAGTCATAAAAAAGAAAGAAGCATTGATACATACTAAAAGAACAGAAGAACATGGATGAACCTTAAAAACATTACACTAAAAGAAGCCAGACACAAAAAACCACACATGGTATGATTCCATTTATATGAAACTAGAGGTCTGATGCATGAAATTCATGCAAGGGGCTCAGCCCTCACAGCCCCAGCTTCGTCCAGAAGGTCGTCTGGAAGGTCATTTGGCTGTCTGATCTAATTAGCATATTACACTTTTATTATTGTAGATGTCCACGAAAAGCAAATTTGTAGAGACAGAAAGTAGATTAGTGGTTTCCAGAGGCTGAGGAGAAAAGGGGAATGGAGAGTGACTATAAATGGGTAAGGTGATGGTGAAAATATTTTGTGGTGATGAAAATATTCTGGAATTACATCATGGTGATAGTACCTGTGGACAAAAGCCAATTCTGTGAGTACACTATTACTGAATTGTCACTTTAAAATGGAGAATTTTGAGACATATGCATTATATCTCAACTAAAAAGAAGAAATAAGAATGAGCAGATGGAAAGAAAGGAAAATGTGGCAAAAATGATAGGTGATAAAGAGGAGGGAGAAGTTGATGTAGGTTCCAGAGCATGGGAAGCAGGAAACGGAATGGAGTGGGACTGAGGGGTGGCCCATCTTCCATTTAGGGCAAAGGCACAGAGGCGGGCACTGCCTACTTGTGTGGCTGTAGATTCAGAAGCTAAGGGAATTGATATCTAATGCTTCTCTTCTGACCATGAGATAAGTAAGTAACAAGTTGGCAGGGCAGGAAGTCTGAGGTGAACAGAGGAGGTTAAGAACAACCTCTATATAGAGGAGAAAAGAGATGTATTGAAAGTTCCCCAGATTTGCTTTTAAAAAAAGCTTCCATATTTGAGAGAATAGAGCAATCAACTTAGGCACCAAATGAGCAGGGGTCTCAGGAAAGATGTTCTCTCTGTCAAGCCTCTGGAGTCCTTGGACTAGAGCAGCGGTTCTCAACCTGTGGGTCACGACCCTTTGGGGGTCGAACGACCCTAAGGCCATCGGAAAACACATATATAATTACATATTGTTTTGTGATTAATCACTATGCTTTAATTATGTTCAATTTGTAACAATGAAATTGGGGGTCACCACAACATGAGGAACTGTATTAAAGGGTCGTGGCATAGGAAGGTTGAGAACCCTGGAATAGAGTGTGAGAGGCTCTCCTCTCACTTCCTGCTACTGTGTACAGCCTCGTCTGCATCTCCAAGGTTCTCCTGGTCAGCTTATCACCTGTGTAGGTCATGCAGTAAGCAGCTTCTTGGTTTAGTATTTGTGGTCTCCTCATATTTACATTATTCCAACAACTAGGTACCGGAGACTTCAAAAATTGATATGAAGATGCCTTTTATGAAGTTTTTCATAGCCTTAAGGGAAAACAAGTGTTTCCTCTTTATTCACGTATCTTATTTTTTAAATTGGTTTTCATAATTCTTTCAACTTTAAAAAACCAGAATCTAATTTGATATGCTCTCAGCGGTTCTCAACCTGTGGGTCGCGAACAATGAAAATACATCCTGCATATTAGATATTTACATTACGATCCATAACAGTAGCAAAATTACAGTTATGAAGTAGCAACGAAAATAATTTTATGGTTGGGGTTCACCACAACATGAAGAACTGTATTAAAGGGTAGCGGCATTAGGAAGGTTGAGAACCACTGAGAGTCTAGATCAAAACATATTAATACTTATTTTCTATGCTTTGAAATGAATAAAATTAACTTACCTTCACTGGTAATATTGATGTCAAGTCAGATGCTGATCATTTTGTCATAAACTTCCAAATCAAGATCTAGATCTCCATGGAATATAAACATGGAATAATGCCACCAGATGATAGTACCTGTGGACAAAAGCCAATGATTTATTAGAACATTATGGGAAGGGGGGGGAAGGTGTTGTATGATTACTGCTGAGTCATATAAATGTCCCAAGTCTTCAAAAAGTACTAACGTGTTTAATTTCTGCATATTAGACAAATATATACTAGTTATGTTAACATTTTTTGAAAGCTTCCTATGTAGCAGGTACTTTTGCACATGTAACCTCATTTGCTTCTTCTTCCAACACTGTTATACAGATGAAAAAAATGTAGCAGCTCATACATATCAGAGCCAGGATTTGAACCTGGGGATTCTGGTTGTAGGTTCTAAGTTCTTAATCACTACATGTACTGCCTTGACATACATCCAGGTACAATACTCCAAAGACTCTTAAAGTCTAGATGGTATGAGGAATTGTAGTTGATTTATTCCCCTGAGGTTGCTAGTCTTTCTCAAAATACGTAAGTGTGATTCAAAATTTTAAATATTACAAGTCAGGATGAATTATAAAGAGGCTGAATTAAGGGGAGGAAAGGTGGGTTTAAATTTTAAGCAGAATTACAACTAATGGGCTATGTGTTATGCCTGAGTTTGCTCAACTAGTTGATCACTAATGTGTGTATAGTTCTAAAATTCTCTAGCAATGAGAAAAATGCATATATTCTGTGAAGTTCTCCCTTCTTCCATTGCATGTTTTCGTCTATCTGATTAGGCATTCATTACCCATTCCTGTATCAGAGTCTCTCTCCTCTCATTCTGCCAATTGGTCTCTTCTTTCAATGTATACTTTGCTAATGCTGGTCTATCCTGGATAATTTGGCACTTACTAGGTTACTAGACCATTTTTTTCAAACTCTTTTAGGAAAGAAGCAGAGCACAAATAAATAAAACTACATAGTACTTAATTCTCTTAAGCATTATGTATGATATGTCATGAACTCGACTGGAAACCCTTTGGGGACAGGAAGTCCTTAAGAGCCTGGGGCAGGTGGCAGGATGCTGAGTATATTATGGACAATACTGCCAAGCAGTACAGTCCCCTCCATTCAGGGATAGTCTGTGTGAGCTGGCTCCATTTGGTGAATAAATTTACTTACATTTGCAAATGTGTAAACATGTTGAGATTCAATACGTGAACTTGAAATACGGCCTGCAGTCATTATATTTCCTAGGTATTTCTGCCAAAGTAAATATTTTTTATCTTGATTCTCTGATTTTCCAATCCTGTTTTCTTTGTATTTTTCTTTGATCCTGTTATTATTTCCACTTGGCTTTGTAAACATTTAAAATGTGTTGCCTCCCCCTTGTAAAACAGTAAAGAAATCCTATGGGCAGGGGCTGGCTTTGGGGATCAAAGAAACATCGTAAGGGATGCGTACAAGATGTTAGTATTAACCTATGTGAAGAGAGAACAAATGGTATATCTTTTAACTAACTTCTCTAGTATTCACCTATGTGAAGAGAGAACAAATGTTCAACTAACAAATGGTATATCTTTTAACTAACTTCTCTAGTATTTATATAAATTATATATATTGTGGTAGCAGTAGCAACATTAGCACTCAATAATACTTTAATAGCATTTACTCTGCACCAAATATCCTTTAAACACGTTACTGGTAATAGTAACATGCTCCTTACAATAACTCCATGACATAGGTCCTATTTTACCAAAAAGATGAGAAACAGAAAGGTTAGTTAACGTGCTCAATGTCAGATAGCTAGTAACTGACAGAGGCAGGATTTGTGCCCCGGTAGTCTGAGTCCAGAGCACCCACTCATAATCCCTTTAATATAAAATGCCTCACCATTATTATAATTTTCAGTGTCGACCCTAAGACACTCTAATGTTCTGATTTTCTCTCAGTCAAAATTGAGTGCCTTTGTATAGGTATACAAATTATACCACACACCCAGAAAAGCCCTGATTTCATGAAACTATACTATTCTCTATACAACAATTTCACAAAAATCTAAAACTATTAAGTCTGATTGAATGGTTAAACTCCATAAGATTCTTATACAAATAAAATAAAAAAATAAAATACATTTCAGAAACTATTTCTTTTAAATTGTAGCCTAGAGGAAAAAAACTAAAAGGTAGGCATTCCTGTACTAATATTTAACTTTTTATTTCAAAAGAATTTCAAACTTGCAGGAAAGTTGTAGGAACTGCTCAAAAAAAATGTCCATGTTCTCTTCACCCAGACATTCCATTCAAGCTGAGCCCACCACTTAATAATGGTCATTCTAGCCAAACATCTGGTCCAGGGTCACATTTTGTACTAAGCTGTCCTCTCTCTTCAGTCTCATTGTATCTGGAGCAAGACCAGCTCTTCCTTGATCTTCACTGTGCTTACATTATTAAAGGTTGCTGGTTAATTATTTTGCAGAATGCCCCTCATTGGTACTAGTCAGGTTTTCTCATGAGAAAATTCAAAGATTGTATTTTTGTGAACTAATGCTGTGTGCTTCTAATTACATCCCATCAAGTGACACATGATGTCAGTTTGTCACGTCACTGGTGACAGTAACTTTAATCACTTGACTAAGGTTGAATCTTCCCAGTTTCTCCAGTAGAGTTACTGTATTGCCCTCAATAAAAAGGATTGGTGGACAGATACTTTGTGGTTATACAAATATCCTGATCCTCATCCAACTTTCACTGACTAGTTTTAGCATCCACTGACATTTCTTACCTGAATCATGATGATTGCCAAATTACCATCTTTCAAATCTCTAAATTCTTTCCATTTATCAGACAGCATCCTATTTTAAGAAAAGATTTTCTTTCCCCCTGCTTATTCATGCATTTATTTGTATCAGTACAGCCCCATGGGTGCCTGGTTTGGATAGACTATAACATCATTATTGTTTTGATATTTAGATGCTCCCAGACTTTTAGTGGGAATTCCTTCAAGCTAGCTGCTGTGTTTTTTGTCATCTTCCCATCATTCTTTGAAAGCATCTATATATTTTTGCACAAGATTTCCAAAACTCATTTGTACCTTCTCTCCCCCAGCCCTAGAACCAAAATTTTTTTTCAAAGATCTATGGTTCCTTTTAGTGAAGACTGGTATTTAGAGACTAAGATCTGGACAACAAATGTGCTTATGTTCACTGGGATGTCACCACATTCTGGCCCTTTCAGTGAGCAGAGTTAGGAAATACGTATGTTTCATTTGTGTATGTATATAGATGTACGTACATATTCACATATACACATATACTATCACATTTCTATTTGTTTCTATATTGAAATTTCTATTTATATAATTTTTCCATATTGAAATTCTTGAGTTCAGACCAATACCTCAAATCCCAGTTCATAGCACAGGGTTCACTCTAGCTTTCTCCCTTTTTATATTTGTAACTTTCTTCTCTGACAGCACGAGTCTGGCTCCCATTACCTTCAATATATTTGCTCATTGGCCTCATTGGGATTTCTTATTTAGACCTTCCTAATGGCTTTCTGACTAAATTATTTAAAAAGAAAGAAGGAAATTAAGCAAGCAAGCAAGGAAGAATGGCTTGCAATACCAAATTTTTGAGATTTAATAATCTGTTAAAGCCATAACATAGGCCCTAAGACTAAATATATCAACCTAGCACCTTGTTCCCTTGTCACAGAGAAAAGAGTTTAAAGCTGTTTTCCAATGGCTTCTCACCTGACTTTCATTGTGGGTAAGATATACATATTGATCCTATAACAAGAATTGACATCTGTAAATGTTGTATTATTAATAAAAATTTCAAGAACAAGGTGTCACTAACTTTTTCAAAACAGATAATAGAAATTCTAATATATCCTTACTGACCATCCCCTCCTATATAACAAAGAGGTAATATGCAAATTAACCCTCACGCCCTCACAAGATGGCTGCCTACGACCAGGCCAGCAGGGGGTTAGTGAGAGACACCCAAATGATTGAACAAGCAGGTGTGTGGGGTGACCAGGCTAGCAGGGGGGTTAGTGAGGGATGACCAAACGACTGAACAGCAGGCTGTGTGGGGCAACCAGGCCGGCAGGGGGGGCG